ACAAGCCTTGGTAATACCTCTAATTAGTAAGAAGGGGAAGTGAAGCAGAATGCTGCCATGGATGCAAAAGGAGGTGGTTAGAGGGATTAGACTCAAGAGGAACCTCTGTAGGAAATGGGCACTGGAGCAAATACACATAAGGGTCTACCGGGAGAAGGAAGCCCATTACAGAAGGATTCTGTGCAAGGCTAAGGCTGATTATAAGCTGAGACTTGCAAAGAATATCAGGAGCAACAAAACGGGCCTCTATCAAGATGTAAATAACAAGAGGAAGGTGAGACAGGTGGTGGGACTGCTTAATGAGGAAGGGGATCCAGTGCATGATGTGAGGGAACAGGCACAGATGCTAAATGATTATTTTGCCTCTGTGTTCTCCCCAAAGCAGGACAGAGGAGATCTGCATGGGGGTTCAGATGAGGCTGGGGACTTAGTGGCACAGATTAGAGTCATCCCCCTAGATGTCGAGGAGTTCCTCATGGCACTGGATGTTCCTAAGGCACAGGTCCCTGACAGGTTACTCCCGAGAGTACTTTGGGAGTTGGCGGCGATTCTTTTGCACCCTCTGGCCTCCATTTTTGAGGCCTCATGGAGAATGGCTGAAGTTCCAGAGGACTGGATGGTGGCCTCAGTGGTCCCAATTTTCAAAAAAGATAGTAGAGGGAACATGGGGAATTACAGACCAGCTAGCCTAATGCCCATTGAAGGAAACACAGTGGAAATGTTCATGATAGAGAGATCTAGATAGGGATAGGAGGTTGGTGGCTACACAACATGGCTTCTGCAAAAACAGACTGAGACTGAGGGAACTAGGTCTTTTCAGCCTGGAGGAGACTCAAAGGAGATCTGTTTGTGACATACAGGAATGTGAGATGGTGTCACACAGAGATAAGCTCAGGGAACCAAGGTTCAATTTAGATTCCAGGAAGTACTTCCTGACAGTTAGGACCCCAAGGGTATGGAATGGGCTTCCAAGGGAGGTGATTGAGGCCCCATCAGTGAGGATAGGCTGGACATGCACATGGAAGGCATGTCGTGAGCGGAGCCAGCTGGAGCCAGGGGTCAGACTAGATGACCCGGGAGACCCCTTCTGACTCGCTCAGTTTCTATGTGTCTATCATTTTTGTTGATGCTTGAAAGGAGTTGTTTAGTGCATTGGAAGTTTGACCCAACCCTTTTCTTTCAGGCAGGGTACTTGTCCTTTAACATGCCTCCCTTGGCAGCCATTTTGTGATTGTGCAATGGGCATTTTCTCAAATTGCCAATGAACCACTGCTCAAAATGGCTGTCTGTACATGGTCTAGGTATGTCATCAGTGGAGCCAGCTGGAGCCAGGGGTCAGACAGGATGGCCCAGGAAGTCCCTTCTGATTCACTCTGTTTCTATGTTTCTACACAGAGCCATGTACAAAATTAATGCTTTAGTACTCTTGACCATAATGGCTTCCTACTGTATGGAATCTATGCTGGAACTTTTTAGATCTCCTTTGCCATTTCTCAGACTGCAAAAGACCCTATTCATAAAATGTGGTCAAAGAATATGGATCTCCCTGGGATCCTGAGGTTGATCCACGTTATGCACAGATGTCTTAGCACTGTATCTGTGGCATTCCCCATATCAAGGACATGGAAATGTAGATCTCCTTGGTCCATCCACAAACAACAAACAAATTACAGTCAGTTGATTTGGAAAAAGGAAATTAGCCAACGGAGCCCTCAGGCACACCATGGATATATGCAAACATCCAAAGCCAAAATCATTTTAGAGCACAACCCTATGGGTTTTTAGAGAAGTAAAGTCCTAAAGTTCTAAAGGTTATCCAGTTCTGTGTATGCTGACACTTGCACATTTTCCTCTGTCCAACCATGTACAAGAGTAACCCTTGTCCTGTTTTTAGCTTCCATGGCTTCTCCCTATCAGCCCTGAGAAAATTATTTTGGTGAGGGTAGACAGACATGTCCATAAGATGCCCCAGTATCCCATTGCCCCAAAGCAGAGCGACAGTTAATATAAGTTTATGCCTTTAGTTCAGCAGCAGAGGTGTGCCCTAAGCATTATCACACTCAGTTCGTTCAACCTTTTGTGGAAATCCAACAAATGCCCACTTCTCTATACTGGTCTTTCCCAAATGCACACACACCTTTTCTCAGGACCACTCCCATCTCAATGCAAAGCAGAAGAGCCACCTAGAAATGATAATATGTGAGTGAAACTTGAGACGTCCTCTCAAAATTCGCCACCCCCTTTGCCTATTGCCATCCTATTTAAGGACAGAGAATTCCCTGGGGGAAGGGAATTTCAACAATATTTTTTGGGGGGGTATAGAAATTCCTCCAAAATTTCTTGCATTTAGTGTTCACCCTCAGCAAGGGCTATAGCACAGCTTGCTTGCCTGCTTGCTTTCCTCTCTCCCTCTTCTGTTCACCCACCCACTGCCACCTTTTGCATCATTCACAATGTCCCAGACCGAGCATCGTTCTGGGGCATCAAGGAACAAGGGGCAGTAAGGAGAAGCCAACCAAATCACAATAAAGAAAATTAAAGTGGGGAAGAAGTCTACAAAGATGCTTTTTTCTATGGGATAACAAATGGAAAAAAACCCCAGAATGTTTCTGAGAACAAATTCCTCAGAGACATTTTGGTTTGGCTCTATTTGTTATTCTTACACTTAAAGACATGGTCGTAGATCGGTCTGTCTGCAGTGCAGATACTTATAATATTGTGACTTCCCTGAACACCTCATAGCATGCATGCCACTGGCAGCATTGTGGGGGCAAAATACTCATGCACACTTCTGGGCTATCCCAAAGCTAGAGCAAGTGTATCCTATGAAACTGCCCCTGACACATTCTCACATTCTTCTCCTCTGAACTTTTGCTTGAAAGCTGTTTCATTTCTGTCAATTGGAATGAGAAGAACTGAAAAAATGTGGGTTTCTGGCTCAGCACTGACTGCAACATCTAAGCCACCACTGAGGCAGAAATATCGGAAGAGCTACTTCAATAGCTCCACAGTCACCTCCAGGAGGGAGTTGCTAAAGTGATGAACTACTTCTACTCTGGCCACAAGACCCAATTTGCTGCTTGTAAATGGCATGACTTGACCGTGGCTCTGATATTTGCTAGTCCATAACATTTCCTCCTCCTCCTCCTCCTCCTCCTCCTCCTCCTCCTCCTCCTGTCAATTGCCACTGTGCATCATGCCTTACTTGCATCCTGATTCAACAGGGAAGAAATGGACCAGAAACATGATGCCTGTAGAACATGAGGCCAGGATGAGGACCTCTGTTCCTCTTGGAAGAGAGAGGAATGGTCAGGAAGTTCTCTTCGCTTTCTACCAAGGCTCTGCTCTCATCAAGCTGCAAGTGCAGTTTCTGTGGCTGTTCGCTCAATGCACCTTTTTTCCCATCTCTCCTCCACCCTTCCTGCCTTTCATAAGAGCCCAAAAGCAGATAGACAAATTCTTTCAAAGGGGAACCACATGAGAAGAATGTCCAGGAGAAGGGGGAAGTGGAAGATAGCAAGAATGCTTAGAAAGGTCTAGCTGCCATACTTGGAATCTCTTGTCAGACACACATATACAAGACAGCAAAGCGAATTGGTAGCAGTTGCAGCGGTAGGGATGAGGGAGAGATTGAGGGGAAGGGGAGGGGGAAAGGGAAAGGGAAGGACAGCAACAGTTTGCTTTGAAGGATACCACTGCCTTACAGCTAACTGATATTTCAGCTCGATTCCAAACCATAGGGAAATCTATTTGTCACAGCAGCAAGGCTGAAAAAGAGAGAATGAATGACCGCAGGCGCAATGATGAAACTTGATATGGGCTTGCAGAAAGCTGGGTTCAACTTTGTGCTTCACCATGAACTCACTGTGTGACCTTCAGGCAAGTTAAGTCTTTTCTCCCACCTTAGATCCCCTAAACATGTCCAGAATGGGGACATACGTTACCTATGATACAGGAGTGAGGAGTGGGCCAGCCAAGGGTCATAAAGTTTTTTGTACAAGAAAAAAGTGCAATATAAATTATTGTGAACAGCAGTAAGAACAGGGAAGAATTTGGCCTGTGTGTGTTGCCCTGTGTATATATGTACTGGGATTATCTTACTTCTCCCCAGATGCCACCACTGAAATCATGGCTTCCAAGCCAACCTGTTTGGAATGGATGGCTTTACTGAGGTTATGGTTGTAAATGCTGGATCTCTGTGTGGATAACGAGGATTATTCCAGAGGGTGTGGAGCCAGGATATCTTCCTCACATACATCTTCCTTTTATGGCTCTTGCTGACAGCTGTTCAGGTCTTCAACACTATTCCCAGGAAATCGGTCCCCAGATGCTTAAAGTAGGGGTGTGCATGTGTGTGTGTGTTCGGGGGAGAGAAGTAGAAAGGTGGGTGGGATCAGTAAAAGGAAGATTTGCCAAGGGACATCATGGGACCAGAGCCCAGACTTGGCCTGTTCTGTGCCTGGGCATTGATTTCACAAAGTGCAACTGCAGATAGGCACAGTCTTTCCACTCTTTGATTTTCCTACAGGATTATCTTTCTGTGTTCCCAAGTGAGTTGAGCTCTGCCCAACAGCCTGAATCAAAATAACACAATAGAATTCACAATTCCACAAGTTGAGTTAAAGATTTCTCCCTCCACCAATTTCTTTTTAATACCATAGAAGGTTTTCCCCCCCTCTCCACCCCCTCTCTTTCTCCTTTTCTTTTTCCTGCTTGCAATGTTCAACATTTTCCATAAAAGCAGGAAGTAGGAGGCTCTTTCTCTCTTGTGGGTGCACTCTCTCTCATTCTCTTCCCCCCCCCTATATATAGATAGATATTTATCTATCCATCTATCTATATATATATATATGCACACACCAAATTGCCTTACATGTTGATTGTTGGGGTTTTCCTGTGTTTCATTTGACTGTTTTCTCTCTTTTTCTTTCTTTCTTTCTTTCTTTCTTTCTTTCTTTCTTTCTTTCTTTCAGCATCGTATGTGTAGCAGGCACTTGAGTTTATATGAGTATGTTGGCTTGAAGGAGAGGTAGGGAGGGGAGAAGAAGAACAGAGCAATTATATCCAAAAAGTGGCCACCGCTAGCCAAGGATGTCCAGGTAGATTGGTGTGGCTTTACCCAGAGTGTGAAGGATCTTGTAGATTTCCTTGATGTTCAGCCGCTGCTGAGGTTCCCTCTGCCAGCAGCCCAACATGATGTCATAAACCTCCTTGGGGCATACTCGAGGTCTCTCCAAGACCCGTCCTTGGGTGATACACTCAATGACCTGCAAGGGATAACAGAAGAGCTGACTCTCATTCATGTACCAAACCATTCCTTTCATACTGACTTATCTGCTCTTGTGTTGCTGCTGCTGTGGATATTTTAACCCATACAAATCCAGTAGCTTATTCCTGGAACTTCCTTGGCTGTTTTCAAATGTGGATTGTGCCACATATTTATTGAATGGTGTTGGAGGGGCCTATAGCTTAGCAATATGGCACATATTCTGAGTGGTGCCATCTCTGTCAGGGAAGCTACTGCAAGCCTGACAGGATAAAGTTATGTTAGATGGATCAATGGTAGTATAGCACTTCATTATAATTTCTTATTGAACATTGTTCAATGAGCTCAGGGGTGGAAACTATATGATATCCAGGGGCTTCTTCATTCCCTACAGACCCATGGCTCCCATGGTTCCTGGGAACCATGCTGCCCATGGGGCACACTGAAATGAAGTTAAATAATAAACAGTGTGCAACCAATGTTTAGGGCAAACATCTCTGTAGAGCGCCACAACACTAGTAGGATCAAATACAGCTTGTCTTGCCAACTTTCTAAGGATTTCTAGGATGATGCTTCCGTTGTGCACATGGCATGCCTCCAATGTTACCCCCATGCTTAGATGAAATCCTCCTCCTGCTCTGCTCCCCCGGCCATGTTCAAGCACTTTTTCATTGTTTCTTTCTCCTACATAGGAAAAGGGGGGTGGGGGGCATGAAATTAAACTGAAGCTTTTCAGCAGTGTCGTTGTGCCTTTCTGCTCCATTCTGCCCCGTGCTGGAAGGGTGGCGGTGAGGTCAGAGGTGATAACTGCAGCAGTTTCTGGCCACATCTCCTTAATTCTGAGTGGCTGAAGCTGGTTGGTGGACTGGACTGGAATGGAGCCCCCCATTACCACAAGGCTCCATTCCAAATTGCCCCCATGTTCATCAGTGTAGGTGCCAGCAAACTGGAACAATAAACATTCAGTTGTACAACCCCTCCCCCCATACATGTATAAGGAGAAGAGGCAGATATTCCATGGAAAATAGAAAACTGGAGATTCAATTCCTCTAATGGGGAAAGGGCAGATACTTCCAGGTCAATATATACTATTAGAAGAATTGGAAGAGTGTGTGCGATGGGGTGGAGGAGGGGAAGGATGTACGTAGCCAGCACAGGTAGTTCCATGACTTTGTGGAGAACAATCCTGCCAGGAACCACCTGCTAGTGTAACTGTGGTCCCTTTACTCCACATCCCTAAGACATCACTTTTGTCACCACTAAATTGAGGGGGGAATTGAGGGAGCAAATTTCTCACCCCTGAGTTAGCTATGTGTCTGTCAAGTGCACTGAGTGTAGCCAACCACCACTCTGGGCAGGCATCCAGGATCATCATGAAAGGGATTCTGAAGATTTTCAAGAAGCAGAGAAGAGAGTTCTGGGAACCAGGGAGAGGCATAGGCCTTTGAAGCACCCTCAAAGACACTGCCCACAGGTTCCTGGGATGACCAGGAGAGCAAGGATGTTCTGGAAGGGACAGGATGCAGATAAGTGCAAAGTCTTGCACTTGGGGCACAGGAATGGGTGTCATAAGTACACCCTATGGACAAGTGGCTGGAAAGCAGCACTTGTGAAAGAGATCTTGGGGTACTGGTGGACTGTAGAGTAAACATGAGTCAGCAATGTGACACAGTGGTCAAGAGGGCAAACACTACCCTTGGTTTCATAGCCAAAAGTGTGGCCAGGTTAGAATTGGAGCAGCGTAGGGCCACAAGGATGGTGGCTGGATTGCAGGGAGAAGAGGAGACCCTGAGGAGATCTGTTGGTGACATATAGGGATGTGAGGAGGTATCACATTAAGGTGGGTTGAACCTGTTCTCCCTTGCAGAGGAGAGCAGGATGCACTCCAATGGAAGTACTTCCTGACAGTTTGGACCCCTAGGTCCAAACTGTCCTGATTGAATGGACTTCTACGGGAGGTGGTTGAAGCCCCATCGATGAGGGTGTTCAAGGATAGGCTGGACATGCACATGTCATGAGCAGAGCCGGCTGGAGCCAGGGGCCAGACTAGATGGCCCGGGAACCCCCTCTGACTTGCTCTGTTTCTATGTTATCGGAAGCATACCTCACCAACCAGTATTATAGCCCTTACAAGACATTTGTGCTGCAACATTTCAGTATAACTGAGTATTTTTTTCTTTGTAGTTCTCAATAATTCTCCAACCTCACCCCCATGGTCCATACAATACATTCTTAATTCTGGGACCTTGGATATTTGTCATGGGCAGAACTGAAGAAGCTTCAGTTCTCTCTGTCCTCAAACAATTTCTGCTGAAGTCCACAAAACCACACGCTCACTAGTGACATTCATCCAAAAGGTCATCCAAAAGGTTTTGAGGTCAAATGTTTAGTTAGAATGTAGACATCGGAAAGTTTGCTCAGGAAACCAAGAAATTATAATATTCAATAAAATGTCGGAGGAGTCAGCGGGGCGGGGGTGGTATATAGCAGAAAATAGGAACTCAGTTTGCAAAAATGAACAACACGCTGCCCGTTTGGTTGGAAATGGAAATAAAATAATTCTAAGAGAGAAAAGTAACAGCAAAAAAAAAAAAAAAAACAGAGGGGAGAGAGAAAAGGAAGGAAGGAAGGAGGGAGGGAGGGCGGGAGGGAAGAAGGGAGGAGGAGAAGTCCCTGCCAGAAACTGGATAGTTGATGGAGAGAGTGCTGGGCCTGTGACAGGAAGATTTTGCTTGGATATTATTTACTTATTTATTATAATTTTTTTCTATGCTGTCCATTACTAAAAAAGTCTGTGGACAGCTAACAAGGAACAGGAAACCAAGAACAAAACCAGAACAACAACACACAGTAAACTGCATCTAAAATAGTATATGAACAAAAGGGATAAAGGTGTATGAACAAAAGAAGAGACAGTCTTGTTAGTTTAGCTTGCTGTCTTTATCCCTGGGTATTTTATTAATCTCTTGTGGTCTCTGTTAGGGATACACAGGCCTTATCTAATAGCCATGCTTAATGTCCCATCCCAGTACGCACAACCTTATGTAGGTTCATGATAATCAGTGAGCTCTAAGACTGGTTTGATGAGGCAACAGTGAATTGGATAGGAGAAAAAGGCAGGTGAATGGCATGAGGAAAGTCTATAGGAAGATCATACTTCTATGGCAGTAGAAAAGGCCATAGAGTGGGAAGATCAAATAGGAGTGTAGGCACAGTGTTTTGGCCCTTCATTCTTCCCTTCACAGAACAGGACATGGTTGGTCCATGATATCCACACAGATTGATAAGACCGTCCATAGAAAACCCTTGCAAAGGCATTCTGGTGAATGCACACATGTGTTAGGAGAAGACTTGGCTTTCATCAGGCAGACCATCCAAACAGCTTCATTGTACCAGTTTGAAGTGTACAAGAAGGTGAGGTACCTGTAATGTATGAACTAGATCTTTCTGACTGATTTTGTTGCTGTTAGTTGCAAAGTCGTATCCGACCCATTGCAACCCCATAGACAACATTCTGACTAATTTATCCATCAGTAAAAGGGAAAGGGAAAGGGAAAAAATTAAAGATTTGACGCAAGCTGAAAGCAGCAGCTGCAGAGCTATGGTTGCTGGGTTTGTTGCCCTCCGGTGCACGAATGCTGGCTACCAGCACAATCTGTCTGTCCACATTGCCTTTATACCCTGACCAATTTCCTCTTCTGAGGAACCCAAACCAGTTTAAATAGTCTTCCTTACTCCATGTTTTCTTCCCTGCAACAATAACGCTGTGAAATGGGTTGGGCCAAATGTGAGTGACTGGCCTCTCAGTGAGTTTCATGTAGAAGCAGGTTCTCCTGGGTGTCTAGTCCAATCACCAAGTCATCTTTTTTGACCATTTGGTCCACCTGTTTTGTCTGGTAAGTGGAGTCGCTTCCTTTTTTTAACAATTTCAATCCCCAAACAAGTGGTGTCCAAAGTCCCCCCCCCCCCGCACTTTGCCATGTCAATTGACTGCTTCCACCAATCCCTCCGCATCAAGTACCTCAGTGTTTGACAGCTGGAACCATGGCTGCTTCCCATATGTGAAGATCTCCCACAGAATCACGCCAAAACTCCAGACATCACTTTCTGTTGTGAATTTCCGGTACATGATGCTTTCAGGAGGCATCCAACGGATGGGCAACATGGTATGTCCTCCCACCTGTATGAAGGAAAGCAAGGGTCAACACGTGTGGCCCACAAGAGGAAGTGGCACAGGAAAGAGGAGAATGGGGTGCAAATCTTCCTTCAGCCACCAGTTCAATGGGCCTCCTTTCAGTCTGCACAAGCAGCAAACCAAGCCTTAATATGCACATCTTTCTCCAGGTATAGGAATCAGAAGAGAAAATGATTTTAGACAAACATGTAAGAATGTAAAAATGGGTGGTCACCCTACTTTCTACAGAGAGCTGCTTCTAGGGTAGAAACGTTTTTAGGAGTTGGTTTCTTTAGCTACCTTATATATTAATGGTCAAATCATCATACAGGAACCTATCTTCTTGCCACCCCCTCAAAACTCCACCAAAGAAGGGAAGGGAAAGGAAGGGAAGGGAAGGCCCTAAAGAGCAGGGAAGCAAGATAGCGCACTGAGGATTGGACATGCTCCTTGGATATGGATTGCTGAATAACATTTGGAGGGAAATGAAAAATGTGGGGAGAAACTGCCAGAAGAGGGCATGGCTGGCTGGTTGGCTGGCTGCCCCTCTGAAGTACCCCACACTACAGTATTTGGTACAGGTCCTATGTGTCCTTCTTTACACAGTGTCATCAATGTACATTGTAGTATTGACAGAAAAGATGGTTCTGAATTTGCAGATCAGAGAAACTAGACATCATGCAAGTTCATTAGATTCCATCTTGAAATGGATCATTATGCAAATCAGTATCAGATTGTGAGATGATAATGATAATGGTGCATGAAAAGTCATGCATATTTTTGTGCATATACTTCTAAAGGGATGCATCAGTCGTGAATGCCTTTGAAATTTATTTATTTATTTATTTATTTATAGCACATTCTTCTCCTATTGATTAAAGTATATTTGCATGCATTTTTCAAAAGCATTCAATTTTTCATGCTCATTTTTCAGTTTCATACATACTGTGCAATTCATGGCTTTGGTTTTGCAAATCACACCACAATTTTGGAATGTATGGACTTTGATTGCATCTGAATCCATGTTTGTTCTATAAGGTATGACTTGGATAAACCATGATTACAAACAAACTGAATTTCATATCTCATACATTTCTAGTCCAAATAAGGACCTTAAATGCTCCTATTGGAAAAATTGAACAGAGGCATGTTCACCTCCAAATGTCATCTTCTCCCCATGCTACTCCATTTAGATCTGCAGAGTGCTAGCTTGCTTGCAGTTGCTCAAGAATTTTTCAGTGCCTTCCTCTACTTATGCACCTTCTGTTTTCCCCTCTGGACATGAATCACATGCAACGTGCATCTGGAAATCTGTATATTTCCAGGTCTACAGTGCATCTTGTGGACCAAGAAAAACCTATCTGGGTGAAAAAGTCACATCTGAAAAGTAAAAGCATGTTCTTGTTAATGTGTTTTTTTACTATGAAAATAAAAACAATTTGAAAAAGGAAAAAGGGAAAAAATGTACACATTAAACATGCGAATTACATTTGTATAGGAAAAATCTATACAAACAAGCAAAACATCCACACAAAATGGTGGGGTAAGAAAGAACCCCATGGAACTGTGCTGACATTCACCCATCACTTCTCAGAAACTTCTTTGGGTGACCTACTATGATAGGTTTGATGGGTGGCAAATGTGAAAAGAGTCTTGTCTATGAGGGCACCACAAGGATGGGCACTCTCTCTTCAGGACTGGCAAGACTCCCTGGAGAAGACAATCGTGCAAGGAATAGTTGAAGGCAGAAGAATGAAAGGAAAACCAACTATGAGATGGATGGACTCCATAAAGAAAGCCACAGCCTTGGATTTACAAGAGCTGATCAGGGCTGTCATGGACTGACCATTCTGGAGGGATTCATCAGAGGGTTGCCACAAGAACAAATTCAGGACTGCCCATATACTGGCCAGTTTAGATAATCAATCTGAGGTTTTCATTTGTCTCAAATGTTAGTTGCACTGAAGGTGCAAGAGCAAAAACTGTTTGTGCCAAAATGAGACTATTCTCCATCCGTGGTTTCTGCCTCTGCAGCTTTCTGGATCTATTCCTGTTTAATATAATGGATCAGGGATGCTGCATGGCACTGAATAGAAGGAAATTTAAGAGGTACAGATAATAAAGAGTCCTCTACTTGGCTTGGAAAAATCATCCTAGATATTTTTTATTTCTTTCTTTTTTCCCAAATCACATCTCTAGTAAAATGTTGAAAGCAGGTTTATCAAAGCTCACCTATATGTAATATTTTTTCAGTCTTTTAATATATCAGTTTAGAAAATTTAATATCATTTTCTATTTCATTTATTTCATATTTTCATGAAAACTTGCTATGCATATATACCATATCTGAAAGTTATTTGGACTTTCTGTTTTAAATTACATACTCTTGAGCATTAGGTGCCCTTTTCTCTTGCGGGGTTTGGGTTTTGTTCCACTTTTTGGCCTGCTCTTTTTAGAAAACCTGCAAAATGGCATCAGCCATGAAGCCCCAGGTGCCCATGTGAGTGGCTTGTAGCTGAAGTTTTGTGAGCTGTCTGCATTCGCATCATGTTGATGGGGGCATGATGAGCAATGTCAAAGTGTGTTGTGCTTCTGAACCCTAATGCCAGAAGAGGGAGAATATTTTCAGGGACCAGTTTCCTCCTTTGTTTATTTTTGCGTATCAGCTGAAAACATAAAAGCAAAGGAAAATACATGCAATCCATATGTACTATAGTGTTTCCCTGAAAATAAGACCAGGTCTTATATTAATTTAAATATAAGATGCGTTAGGGCTCATTTTCAGGTGCTGTCTTATTTTTTCTTTCAAAAGTCATAAGATTCTTGCCCTGAGAGTCCTCCACAATTCCGTTCTTGTTCTCGATTTTTTTTGCACCCATCTTGCATTTTGTATCCATGCATTAAGTATGTCCGTTACAACACTCGACGTATTGACATTATCCATGCATTATGTCTGTACTCTGGTCATTTGGCAATAAGTCTCGCGTTCATCTGTTTACATAGATGTTTACCTCTCATCCAAAAGTGCCCATTTCAGTATTTACAAATACTTAATTATAATGTAGATCATCATTTATTTTAGTTTAAGTATTAATGTCATTTATAATATTCTGTGCACTTCGGTGTTTAGTCATGCTGGACACAGGCCCACAGAGACTGCAGACAAGCACTGGCTCCCTCGGCTAGGAAAAGGAGATGAGCACCACCCCCTAGAGTCAGGCATGACTGGACTTAACATCAAGGGGAAACCTTTACCTTTACCTTTATTATTTATTTATATTTAATTATACATTACCATTATTATTTTATAATTCAATACGTCTATCGTGTGTTGCAACAGACATATTACCATGTTTCCCCATCCGTCTGGCCAATGATTTTAACTGGGGATTGTTTTGGGGGCAGGGCTTATATCACGAGCATCCTGAAAAATCATGCTAGGGCTTATTTTCCAGTTAGGTCTTATTTTGGGGAAAACACAGTAAAAGACAAAAGTCTAGGAACTGAGAAACAGCTATGAGGTCACAGGACAGCATCCGAGGTACCATGGGCTGACCAACAAAAGGTTATGTCACAGCTTCCTCACCTGAGTTCATTTTGGTTTTGGTTTTTCCTGGCCAAGAGACCTAGCATCTGCTTGGCACTTCTTTGCAAGGTTTAGCTGTGATGGTGGAATGGCACTGATAAAGTCCTGAGTATTAAACTAAGCTTTACAGTGAATTGATATATAGACTAATTAATTTCCCTGGCCTATCAATAGCTATAGACTAAGTGACAACTAAGAAAGGAAATGCCTGAGTAAACAGAAATAAACTGAAAGATTAACGGCTGTGCAATGGCAACCATTGCACTGAGTTACTGTCATGTGCACACATTCTGGCAAGATTCCCAAGTGCACATGAAAAGCTGACTGACCATGAAAAGTTTGGTGGGACTGATAGCTCCAAGTCTGAAGATGATGGGGAGTTGGCTGACCTAGACAGGGCTGAGAGCTCAAACTCTGATAATGAGACTCTGTAACGGACAGGTCTCCAGCTGCAGCGCCAGTTTCTCAGCGCCTGTCTGTGCCTGCTCAAGACAAAATTATTTCAAGGAGAGCCATGGGGCCCAGTCCACCCACCTGTGGGAGGGAAGAACAATAACAATATCCCGAGGGAGAGGATTTAGAGATGGGGTGTCTCTTGGATGGAGGACTCAGCCTCCTGAGGAGATGGACCCAGTGGTCCATCGTCACAGCCACAGGCTGACCAACTGGGGGTCAGAGAGAAGAACACAGGTGCGCCCATTTCTACAACCCCTCCTTCTTGAGACAGGCCCAGAAGGGTTCGTAAGCAAAGCTTTGGGTGAGGGGGAGCAGAGAGAGTTCAAATTTTGCTTTGTGTATGCTCAGAGACTTCTGTGTAGAAAAAAAAAGATGCTTACAAGAAGTGCTGGAGAGTCTGTCTTGTTGGGGAGGGACCGCCTAGCTCAAGACAGTTACACACTGTGAGCTGTGTTACTAAGCTGTGCAAGTAATAGCAGTTGAAAAGTAATTCATATCGTGCATCTTACAAAAAAGGAAATAAACCCTGAATATTGGATGTTTTAAGCATCTTGGTTGATTCACTTCATAAAAGAACTGGAACAATTTTATATAATCAACATGGGCAATGCTTTAGTCATCCTGCATTATTTTACTGCATAGCCATGGGTAACTGTTAGCACTTCAGGAGTCTTTGCATGTGTTTTTGTTGTTACAGAAGAAATCAGGAGAACATCAACATCATCTGAAATTGAATTGAACGCATTTAACATTGAATTAATGTAAACTGTATGAATGTGACCTTAATTCTGCACAAAATCAACACATTAAGAAGAAAGCAGGATTCTGCCCACTAGCAGGATTGTGCCCTGGAAATGGGGTTGAACAGGCAGTATTTAAGCTCTCTCCTTTTTATATGAGGATGATCATGTTCTTCACAGAGCTGCAGAAGCTAATAGAACAAGTCTTTTTTGGCTGGTAAACT